GCGGAAACGAGAGAAGTCGTTGTTCAGCCTGCTGTCCTCCAGCACGAGTATCGACTGCGCGTTGGACAGGCGTCCGAGGCGCTGCACGAGATCCGCAGGCTGTTACTCGTCCGCACCCATCTCTACAAGCTGAAGGATACGCACTCGCGGGGCGTGCGGGCCAATATGCGCTCGGGGGACAAGATCGCAGCACTGAATGAGCAGGTGAAGCGGGGAGCGGCACAGTATAGGGCAGCGCGGCGTGCACTGGAGTCGTTGGGGCGGGTGCTGAGGCGGGATGAATGGTCGTGGACGCTACTGGAACTGAGGGAGGATGACATCCGGGGATTGCCCCAGGCCCAATTCCACGACCCCGAACGCAAGAAGAAGAAGCCGAAGAGAGCGAGGACAAAGAAGACGCCGCCGCGGCCGCTCTCATGGATTTGGGTTACTCGGGGCGAGCGCTGGGAAGCGGGCGATGACGCGGCAATGAACGAAGGTACGTTCGTCTGCTGGAATGCAGAGAACTCGGCTGAGAGAATCTATGAACAGCTGTACGCATTGAATGGGCCAAGACACGAGCACGGGCGATGCGCTGGGCGGAGGAAGTGGACCTTTTGGAGGAGGAGATGCGACGCGTCCTCCAGTTCTTACAGTGGCGCGCGGGCTGGTGGACAGCGAAGATCGGCCAGCGAGAACTTCCCGAGGGGCCACAATGTGAGGGAGAGACGGCCTACGCGTTACGCCAGGCAAAGATTCAGACCAAGTTGGCGGACGAGTTCACGGAGGAATGGAAGGGGCTAGCAGAGCTCATTTCCCGGGGGAGAGCAGGCAAGGAGGTCGATGGGGCCGAAGAGAGCGATGAGGAGGCGGAGGAGAGTGCGAGCGACGATGAAGATGAGCCAATCCCGGCACTCCCGGCACGACCCCTAAAGTCGACTTACGTAGACGAGGTTCTGGCCATGTAGGCGTGCAATTTTTTCTATTCGTCTCATCGTATCATGGGGCATGTGCTCCTTTTTTTTGGTAATTTTACGGATTTTCTCATGTATTTTTGTACTCGTCGTGTCGCACAGCGTCAAGCGCTCTTCGACGTCATCATGCAAATATATAGTCGTGCAATTGTTTCTATTCGTCTCATCGTATCATGGGGCATGTGCTCCTTTTTTTTTTGGTATTTCTACGGATTTTCTCATGTATTTTCGTGCTCGTCTGCTCGTCGCGTCGCACAACGTCAAGCGTTCTTCGACGTCATCATGCAAATATATACAACTTTGATGAACATTACGTATGGCTCTGCTCGCTATGATCGACAACGACCAAGAGGTCCTGCTCGCTGCCGACAATACATCTGCAGGGAAGGAGAGGTAGGTGCACCGATATATCAGATTGGCCTCTGAACTAGCGGTTTTGATATATCATGGGCCTCCGGCCATCAGTGGGCCCTGATATATCATTCCCCCGTACTAAGGTGTGCCCTCTCCGTTCCTTCCTCGGAGAACCTGTCGGACGTCGAGGCAGCGGATTCAGAGCCGGGACTCGATGATAATGTCGCAGCTAAGGTACGTGTCTAATTTTTGCTCATGGGTGTGTGTTCAGGTGTGTCACAGAAGCCGCGAAAGGTTTCCGCTGCCCGCCAACAGCAGGCGGACTCCGAGGTACGTGCCAGAGGCCGTTGTCTGGTTCTTCTGATTTCCATATGTTATTGTAGAAACCTTCTGTCCGCCGATCGACTGCGACGCCTGCACCTGGGGCACCTGACGTCGTGGAGCGGACAGAGGCCTCGTGGCAGGTCACCGCTCGTCTAGTGCTCCCCGCTCCGGGCCGCGATATTGGCCTCACTGCTCAGGATCCAGAGCTCCAATTCGTTTTACGCAGCACGATTGCCAGCATCAAGAGCGACCTATTCTTTGTCGACACGTATCCCACCATCGCCACCCGCGCTGGGTTTGTGCGGCCTCACCTCATCAAAGCTGCTCTGATACGCCTCTCCTCCCGACACATCCATCACCGGCTCGTTAATGATCCCGACTTCGCTGCCACGTTAGCTCCCATCGTATGTTATAGTCTTCACACGTTCTGCCAACTCATGTTGCTTGCAGCCGTTGGACCGTATCAACATCATCCGCGGTGACTTCAAAAAATGTGCGGTGGCCTGTCTCGCCGGCCACTATCACCTAGCAGACCTCGAGGAAGCAGAGGTCAAACGACGGGTCGAGGATTTGTTGAAGGACCACAGATATATTTTTCCGGTAGACAAGAAGGCGGTAAGTACCCTCCGCCCACTTTTTTTTCTCATTTATAACATACTTCTGTTCAGGGTGGCAAGCTTCGGTTCGACCAACCCTTTGCCCACCCTGCTATCATACATATACTCAAGGAGCTTGGATTCTCCAAGCCGTCCTTTGTCACCGAGCATCTTGGACTCTTCCCCACCATCCCTGAGAAGCCTGATGAGCGGGAGCTTCCCGTCCCACTCTTAGCTATTCCGGCGACAGCTGTGCGTGCCATTCAATACCAAAAGCCGATGGCTGATGAATTTAGTTGTATGCCGGATTCGTCGAGCTCCGTATGACAGGTTCTCGGCAGCCGACACTCTTCACCGAGGATGCCTTCGAAGATATCTACCGTAATCACGTTGCCGCGATCGAGCTCAATCGCCGCGACGCTCCCAAAGCAACTCACAAGCTCCTCCACGGCCTGTTCAATCAAGTGATGTGAGTACAATTTATACGTTCACGACAGAAGCTAAACCCTTTCAGGGCAAACCGTAACACGGCCGACCATACCTCCGGCAGCGCGGCAACCCTCATCCAGCTCGTTGATGTTCCGTCTGATTGAAATTCCTCGTTGATAATGTCGTAATATAAATATTCCGTTTCGTATACACGTTCGTGCATAGTTTGCAATGTCCACTGTACCGTAGAGACATTTTAATTCAACATTTTAATTGGAATTGAATATGCGAGCAGGGAAAACCCAGAGTATTTGGACGGGAATGTGTGGAAGATTTCTCGTAAAGCGGTCCAAATTGCCGGCAAGTTGGAGGTAATTTGGCGGGGGGATCCAAAGCGAGGCAATCAAGGCAATCAAGGCAATTTGGTCCAAAAAAGGCCAACTTGGGGGTAATTCGCGCCAAATCCGCCAAATTGCCAGGGGGGCGTTTTCCTGATGTGCTAGGAGGTGATGAAAGGGTTCAAAGCATTATATGAATCAGAGGATCTCCCAGTGTAGGCGGGAGAAGCACCAGATCTGCGCGGGATGAGTAAGGGGTGACGGCAAATCATAATGATGTGGCCTGCATCCTGCAAAGTCCAAGGCGAAAGTATAAAAGAGGCTCAGCAGGAAGAGAGGCGGGGAAACCCTAGCATTCAATGTGGTGGTCGGAAGCAGAACCAGATTACGAGTGGGAAGTCAGTGTAAGAGACTAGGTCGGAAGCAGAAGCGGAATGCTGTGCGCCATGGCCCGTTCAATCAACCGAGGTACGAGATTCATTTGATTGAAACGTCTGGCCCTGAGAGACTACCGTCAGACGGGGCGGGCCGAAACGATGGCCGTTCATGCGTCCAGGACTTCCTGGTTCACAAACTATCCGGGGAGCGCACATCTACCTACCCTGCCCCAATATGTCAACCAACCTGATGGCATGATCACATCATGGCATGCCATCCATTCGGTATGCAATGTAGCTTCATACCTAGCTCTCTGGTAAATACCCTCCATAATCCTGCCTTAGAATTTCTCTTCCCTCCTCACTTGGCAGGTCCTGCCGTGCTGGGCTAATGTGATGTTCCCAATCGGGATGGCAAGTGCTGCCATCCCAAATTGGTACATTCCCGAACTCTTCCGGTTCTCATCAATTCTGTCACATCCGCGCCCGCCGTGTCACATCTCCGCTCATCGTGCATGCCGTTGGCGCGCCATGGGCAATGTTCCCAAGCGCTGCCATCCAAATTGGTATGTTCCTGGACTCTTCCGGTTTCCATCACCTCTGTCACGTCCGCGCCCACCGCGTCACATCTCCGCGCATCGTGTCATGCCATCAGTGCGCGGCCCGCCACTGGCAGCGCACCATGGTGTGTGTCCTTCCCAGCTTCTCGTCCTTAGTCGTCTCAGCTCCTAGTTTACATTCTCAATATAATATGCTTATCAAACCTGCGCGCAATCTTGGTTCCTTGTGACTGCATGCTCAAGCTAGGAATAGGATAAGGTACAATTTTTGCAGTTCTTATTCCGGCGCGTATACTAACAGTATCAGGAGCGTCTTCAGACACACCTATACATCACTTTTTTCGGAGTGATACAACCGGCCCTTATTACCTCTTTTCTCGACCTCCTTTTGTGCACCTGTTTTTGTCCGCCAAAAGGAAAATAAAATAAAAATAAAAAAATAGGAAAAGGCCGAATGTGCCAGCGGGGAATCGAACTGTAACGGATGGAGTTGTCGGCATCAATCTCCGACTCGTACGGGATCAGTTTTGGTTGGAAACGTTATCGCGCCGACACAAGGTCGCCACGACATACAAGGACTTCCCTTTGTTCCATTATTCTATGTATAAGCTTCCCTTTATGATCCATATACAGACAAATATGCTTAGATAGGTATTTACGTAGATACACTTTATTTATTTAGTTAGCTTCTCTTGAATCGAGACTCTTACTACGCATTTAGTTCAGCACGGCTTTTTTCAACAGCTCAAGTGTTCCACTTTGAGTGCCCGTTGCCACAGCAGCGCTCAGGAACCTCAGCGGCATCCCATCACACGAACCCCATCTCACCGCAAAGTGTTCAGACGGTCAAATGTGCAACGGACCGGCGTGTGTACCAACACCACTGGCGCTTCCTGCTCTCTTTTCTGAACCTCTTTATGTGCACCTGTTATTTCGTAGCCCCAAGGGGAAGAAGGAAAGCAAAAATGAAAATAAAAAGACCTGAATGCGCCAGCCTTATGTGCAGCTTCATTCTTGTCTGACCCCAAGGGGGAAAGGAAAACAGGGGAGAATTTTTCAAGTGTTCGGATGCACCAGCGGGGGATAGAACCCCGTCCCGTCGCCACTCTGTACATCAAACTATCATGAGGGCGGTGCATATACCATTCACCACTGGCGCTTCCAATCTCCTTAGGTGCCCCGCCTGACTTTTGTCAGGAAGTAAGGGAAAAGGAATTTCCAACTGAGGCCGAATGCGCCAGCGGGGAATCGAACCCAGTCTTGCCGATTCAGGTGCATTGAACAGTTATTTCACAGGGATCAGCGTGTGTACCAACATGCACCAATCATGAATTGAACCCCGTCTCGTCTCGCCGCAATAAAACCTATTCTATTCCTTCATGTAGTCGGTGGGGTGCGAGGTGGCCGAATCCTTCTGAGGCTGCCGCTGCATCAAGATGGAACCAAAAAAACATCAGGTAAAACACACCAGTCCAACGAGCGGTCAGCAAGAGCGGAAGAATATAGACTTACCTTCACGGTTGGGCCTCCAAGCTTGCCTGCTGTTAAGAGAGCCAGGGAAGCACAGCTTCTGATGTGAGAGGGTGAGGTAGAAGATGATCATCATTCGAGGCTGACACCGAGCTCCTACTACATGACAGACCGTGACGGTAGCTATATACTACAGACGCGCGTCGTGCGCGTGAAAGAGGCATTGTAAGTCTTTGTAAAAGAGAAAAGGATATAGCTGGATATAAGTACAACTCCCGGTTGAGCGAGAGTTAGTCTTGGTCGTGTGTCTGAGGTCCATTACAATAAGAGTGTAGAAAACAGGTTGAATTAACTACTAGAGGGGTTCTGGGTAGAAGTCCTTCGAAGGGAAATAAGGCTTATAAAGCCAATCCACAAAGACTACCAAAATGACCAGGAAGAACACAAGAGACCAATCCATGAAGACTAGAAGAATGACCAGCAAGAACACAAAGATTATAAACAATCGAAGGAACTGATCCATGGAGGGCGCAGGAGGGGCCGGGGCTGGAACTGGTCCGGGTGGCACAACCGCTGAAATAATGACCAGGAAAAACACAAACATCAACAGAAACAATCGAAGGAAGGGGTCTGCTGTGGCTCCCATGCCTACCGCGCCACCCATACCACCTGCGCCGCCTGTTCCACCACTTGCCCCTCCAGAACCGGTTGTGCCACCGGAGCCAGTCCCTCCTCCAGGAGCGGTTGTGCCACCCGGACCAGTTCCAGCTCCGGCCCCTCCTGCACCTCCTGCACCCCCAGCACCTTCTCCACTTGCTGCGCCTCCATACCCACCGTACCCTCCTGCCCCCCCCGTAGCCACTCGCGCCCCCATAGCCGCTTGCACCTCCATAGCCGCTCGCACCCCCGTAGCCGCTTGCACCTCCGTAACCACTGGTGGTCCGATAGACACCCCCCCCAATTCCTACACCGTTGCCACCACCACCTGCCCCTCCAGCCCAACAACAAGATAGAATCCACAGGGTAATAGCCCACACAAGGACCCATAACCCAATGCACCACCGGAGGGCTGGACGCTCAGTCGCTTGCTGGGGCTTGGCGGTTCAGTGCGTAGCAGGTTTACTGAACGATGAAGTTGCGGGATTGTGCCTGCCTGTGCTGACAATGGCGTCCCACCGAGTGGACATGATGCTCTCGAGTTCGCTGCTGGTGAGCTCTGGAGCGCATGCGTCGAATTTGGGGAGCGCAAGCATGTCATACATGAGCAAGGGGTGTGCACCAAAGAGGAGGAGGTTCTTGTATGTGATTTCCGGGATGATGATGTCTCCGACGATATTGCGATGATATGCGAGCTCGGTAGTGTACGCGTTGAAATCCTTATGGCCCTGTTTGAGGCCATAGCAGATTCGTGTGGCGTCGTTCACTCCGCTAGTGGACAACCACCGTTCTTTGATTGCCCCGATCCAGTCGTCTATCGTCATTTCGAGGTACTTTTCCCTTCCCTGCATCCACCACTGCTGCATACTGGGTTCTTGCATTGCATGACCCAGAATACGGATCTGATCAGCCATGGCTAGAGGCTTATCGGCATTCCGGCTGTTGAAAATTTTAAAGGCATCTTCGCACTGTGCGAGCCATGCGAGGAGGCTGTGAGGTGTGACACGAGATTCGGGATTGTAGACAGCGATGAGCTTGTGGGGAGAGTCAACGTCGACCAGCATGACGATGAGTGTCCCGGCGACTCGAGAGTGCGGGCTGATGTGAAGGGTGGGAGCTGGGTTAATGTCAGCAACTAGTCCAATATTGCAAATGACACCAGACGTTACACACAGATAATCTCAGCAAGATGAGAAGATAAGACGATGGAGCAAAGTTCTGGGCTAGACCAGGTAGAAGCGACGAGAGAGTCAAGCTAAGGAAACACAGCAAATACTCCAAGCTTATACACTTGTTTGTAGCGCCATGCCCGGACACTGATGTGTACCCAGTACGTATAACTGATGGAGTTACGCCGTCATCATAGAGCTTGTATGGTTTCAATCTTGCCATCGTTCATTTACCCTTTCATCTTCCCGTCTATTTGTACTTCTATTGGACACGCCAGCTACACTTATGCCAAGACTTGCCGCACACGCCTCCTCAGTCCTTCTACCACAACGGTGACTGAGAAGGTACGTTGCTATTTATTCCTTGTCTTACTTTACTTACTATCCGACAGTAGTTGTTTGTTATTAGGTTTAATATATGAGTCTTTCTACCCTAACGGTGACTGACGAATTCTTTGTTTATTAATAACATGTGTATAACATGTGTATAACATGCATGAACAGGAGAAATAGAAGTGAAGATGAATGTAAGTAATAGATAAGTTGCGTAGATGTCATTGGATGGCATTTTTGCCGTGTGCAAACCAGTGTCTCCACCGCCCAAAATATGGCGTAAATGGTGCTAAATAAGTTGAGTGAGTCGCTTATCTCACACCATCGAGCCGTTTTGCTGCCCAGTGCCAATTATGTGAGAATGTTCATGCTCCACCAACTTGGATCGCACGATGTCCCAGTTAATGATGAGTTGATACATATTGTGCTCCACCTACCACTTGAGAAAAAGGCAAAAGTGAAGTTCCGGTCAGCTGGCGAAATGTATTGGAAGTATATTTTCTCTGTCACCGATCTATTTCCGAGTTAATGATGAGTTGATAAAGACATATTGTGCTCCATCTACCTTCGGCAACAGATCAACGCCGCAGGCGTGAAAACAGGTCCAGTAAATGTGCCATACTGTAGGCATTTTCGCGGTCCCGGCACTTCTGCTCCGTGTCGCCTGGTGCGGGCATAACGCGCTCCTCCTATCGTCACGTCTGCCGTAAACAGATTAGCACACACCGGGGGGCATTACCCGAGGCAGGTGAAGGTTACCTGCCTTCGTGGCAGGTGCGCGACAGGTTCCCTGCAGGTGTCATGCACGAGGCTCGGCAGGCAGTTCGGTGACACCATTAAGGCACCTCATTCATACGGTTCGATCAGATTAGATAGGGTACCCATGCACTCAATTTCCACATATTTCTGAGGTTTCCTGTGTGATTCGGGACTATATCACACCTGTTTATGGTTCCATGTGTGATACTTTATGTTTCACCCCAGGATAACAATTAAGGTTTGGTATGTTTCCGGTCCCATTGTCATTTAAAACTCTGAAGCGCACTCTTGGTTATTGGACCAGATGAAACCTTGAAAGTGCAAGGCACTTTGTTACAACAAATGCCTGATCATGTACCTGTGTATGAAGCATGCATCAGGTGTCTTTCGCAACTCTTTTTCCAGAGCGGGATTCCTTTTAGTCCCACGTTGATGAACTGGTACTCTGAACAAGACATCTGGGCAGCTCATTTGAGGTAGAATAAGACACTCTTCAGCCTCATAGCCTCTATTTTCTTAACAATTTTCCAACCAGGCTGGGGGGGGAGGCTTTTCCTCTCCCGTATCCTTCGTTCTTGCCCTCTCCCCCCTACAACAACTCCTATTCTACGCATTAGAAATTGTCTTTCAATTACTTATCAGTGTGGACTTCGCTCAAGTGCATCATTTTCTCCCAAAGCTGCATCAATTTGGGCTCAAGCGCCACCGCCGCTACTCACCTGAATGCTTCCAGCAGGGCAGGAAACCGCATGATTTCTACACCCATCGAATTTGCAAAACATTCGTTCTTTACATCTACGGTGTTCGTTGGGGGCTCTTGGGTTCATACGGTTCATTTCCTGTGGCTGTTCTCTGTTCTCATCCAATTTTCATACCTCAAGTGCCTACAATACTTATGCGGCATTCGGATATTAATTACTGCTCACCTTGGTTGGCGTGTATATTCTGGCTGAGCCCGGAATCGGCTCTGATTTCCAACTGCGTCGCGACGGGAAGCTTTGACTTTCACCCATTCCGGGGTCAACAAGGTGGCCGGACTTGCTCATCATCCCTTCTCTTCATCCTACCGTCAACACCCTTTGCCCAGTGTTCACTCTGGATGTTTCCATCACGGGTTTCTATGCAGCAGTCACCCGATCATTTTTCAATCGCGTCAATAACCGAAAGGACCTGGCTCTCGGCGCATCGAAGCTATTATTTTTCTATGGCTGTGAATACGCAAAGACACAACTTTCCCCCATAACCACTCAAACACGCTCAAAATTAACCTTCACTCAGCGGTGTGGATTTCACTTTTGCGCGTTCAGGATATTTCCCTTTTTCTTGGTCCTCACCACAGCCTTTGTGGTCTGTCTTTGGTGCAAAATATTTTTGTACGATTCCTATTTCTTATTTATAATGGTGATATGCTCAAACACGCTCTTCCACGGTCCACAATTGTAGCTGCCCTCTGTGCTAAATTGCTCTCAGACTGAAATTTTCGATGTCTTTGGAGGATGCAGCATGTTTCAACATCGATGACGCTACATTGCTGCGTTCAGCCTCCATGTAGTATGGGTTCTGCTGTGGTGCGAGAGCCGCGATGTTTCTTTTCTTCGCCTTCGTTGGGAGCCATACCATTGCCTCATGTTCATGAATACTTTGATTTAAATAGATGACACTATATCACTCCAGTTTGATTCTCATTGCCGGAGCGGAGCGCAGGCACATCTTGGGCTGTCTATAAACTTTGGGTGTGCTCCCAACTGTTGACTTACTATGGACATTTTGA